CGATGTCCGGTTAAAAGGTGTCCGGATAAGAGGGAGTTTACTGTATATAATCTTTGAGTAATTTTTGAGTTATTAAAATCTTTCTTTTTTATGTTATTGGGGATAAATTTAAAAAATCTTTGGCCTTCATTGGACGGTTAAACTTGAGCCTATGAGGCTCAACAACCCCCCTTTTTTTCAAAGGTTACAGTTGTGGCTTGTCATGGATTTTTCACCCAAATCTTGTTTTTTAGCTATAAAAATAACTCAATATTGTCCATAAATTTAAAAAAAAGGTTAGCTTGAGCATTGTTTGGTTTGTTGGAAGCTTTCACTAGGGCCTGCTCAATTTCGAGAAAATTCTAGCCAACTCTCTCAAAAAGTTAGTTTTACTGTCTATTGGGCGAATCATGTCACGTAAGTCACATCCTGGATGCTAGGCCTAAATTTTTTCTCTTATTAAAACAAATCAAACGATCCCTATACTCTACTTCCAATGATTAAAAATTAAATTTTGATAACATCTAACCTAAGCCTACTTACAGTTTTTTGCTTGCTGAATACAAAATGCAATACGTTTTTGTTGGAAAGACTTCTAGCCTAGAACTGCCTGTAAAACGAAAAAAAAAATGAATTTGAGGTCCATTGAATGGTTTGGATGGTAAGTTAATATGGCGGTTTGGACGAGTTCGAGTCGTATCAGCCTACTGCTTTAATTTTACTACGGCTTTGTAAGCTATTGCATTCATACCTAATTAAAAATGTTAGTCCTATTTAAATCATTTTTGTAGTTCTTAATACTTTTGTTTTTAAAACAAACAGTGTAATCTAGGTACCTACATTAAGATAACATCAAACCTGAAATAATCTTGAAAAATATGTGAATATGCTGGGAAACCTTAAAAAAATGAAAACGCTTATTCCAGTTCTTGTTACTTAGTGGCTTTGGATTTTGTATTGATTCCAGAATCTCTTGAAATCACGATAAGATAACAAAAAGTGTGATGTAAGATATCTCGTGAGATTATGGCAGCATGGTGGTCTCCTGTGATATTTGCAATATTATCTATCTAACAGCTTTTTTAATAAAATTCAAATATCCTAAGGTTTCTTTTCTGTAAATTGCCAAAAATACAGTTGTGTACATAGGCTGAATTTTTCCAAACTTTGGGTATCAATGAATTACTGTTGGGCTAGGCTTATTATAATTTATATTTAGAATTTTTTGTTTGGTTATATGCTTATAGAACAGGATTGGCAAAAGTTTAATTATATGTATGTTTTATAACAAACTAGCTGGCCCGACAGACGTCGTCCTGTCCTAACGTGGTTTTATGTCAAATGCTTGTTCATTTTCAAAATCCTGGTTGAAGTTCGTTCGCTATGCTCACTCACCTTTAGGTTGGAGCTCGTTCGCTGCGCTCACTTGCCTTCAGGTTAGCTTGTTCGCTACGCTAACTCGCCTCCAGGTTGAAGTTCGTTCCCTATGCTCACTCACCTTTTGGTTGCAAATAAGCTGTTGTCATAAATTTAAAAAAAAATCGTGCTACACCCTGTTGGTAAACTTATTAACTTTTTAATGCTATTGAACATCACAGAATCAAATTGCTTAGTTGAACCAGCTGTTAAGATTCTTTAATTCCATTTAAATATGAGTACTCATAAGGTTAACATGGGAAACTCCAGAGCCACTGGGGCGGAGCCCTTTTGATGGATCTGCACCAAACTTCACACAAACCATCCTTGAATAATGCTTAATAATGCCTGAAAGTTTCATTACAATCTATCAAGCGGTTTCGGAGTCCATAAAGGACAAACAAACAAACATACAAACAAACATACATACAAACATACATACAAACATACATTGGATTTTATATATATAGATTATCAAGTACTGTAACCAATTTGCAATAAATAAGGATAAATGTACTGGTGCTAATAGTTGGTGATAGATTGAGGCAGAAAAACAATGTTTTTGAATTTTAAATGTTGTGTTTTTATTGTTCTAATTAACTTAGTGCTTTTGTTTTTGTTTCAGATGGATGATCAAGATAATATTCAACTCCTCCTCAACAACAAAATGTTAACCTAAATTTGTTTAAGCCTCTTTTTTATAAATTGACAAATAAAAATATTGTTTTGGTCATTCTAGATCTTTGACTTTTATTTACAGTATAGCTCCTGGTTTAACGAGTAGTAGGCCTAATTGTTAGCAGGAATATCAAGTATGTAACCACTTTAAAGATCTGGGCGAATGATATTTATTGAAATTGTGTTCATTTGTATAGGCCTAGTGAGAAGACTATAATTAATTTGAATTTGAAAGACACTTTATTTAGTAGTCTAGTTTTTTGACTAGGCCTATGCCTTTAATAATATTTTGATAAAGAATATTACTAATAACCGGCAGTCACTGTTGTGCTATCACTGCTTATTTTATTAAGGTGAAAGTTTTCTGGGTTCCCCCGCCACTTTCTTTATATCAGCTGTCGGCTATTGTTTCAATGTTAGGGTGAGGTGGAAGGAATGGGATCTCTTCCGACTTCCCCTCAAATTGCCTAAATGTTGTGAATGGAGTATAATAGTGTAACTTAGGTGCTACTACTCAGGGGCGAAAGGGTGCATCCAAGCTATTCAGTATATTTATGCAAATATACAAGTTAGTGGTTATTATGAAGGTCGCCGGTAGAATCCTGACAAAATTCAGTAGCTTTTTAATGGTTTGAAATTGAGCCCAACTGTCCTTGATCATTGAGCTTTCAATACATGATCCTGGTTAATGAAACAGCTGGTCTTTCGTTGGCCAAAAGAAAATATCAGAAATTTTCCATTGCTATTAGCAAAGATTACATATATGTAATCTTTGCTATTAGCATTAGCATTGACTATTAATAATTGGATACTAAAGTAGACATCAAACTTAAATATACCAGCTGTTGCCAGTTTTTTTTTTTTATAAAAAAAGTGTAGTGTGAGCCAGTCACAGAATGTGCTAGTGTCTAAAATTCTATTTTCTGTCTGATTATTTGTTGCATAACAGTTCTTATAGCTTAATAAGTCGTTACTTCAGTTTGACTTGAAAAAAAAAACATGAAGAAAACATGACAGAAATTAGTAATTTAGATCAGCAGTGCAATCTGTCAGTGGTTCACATCAACTACACGAATGTGATAAAGAAACTGGCTACAACCTTAACAAGGGAGTGGAATGTCTAGTTGTATCAATAGGGATCTAAAATCTGACCCCGTCCTCAGGTAAGAAAGTATTATTTAACATTACAACTACAAGATTCACAAACCCAGCCAAAGCGGTGAATACACAATACATTATTAAAGACCACTCACATAACAGAACTGTGGACAAACTCGAAGAAAAACAATCTCTTAAATCAAGACTGTAAAGCACAACATAGCAGTAGTAGTATCATAGTATGCTAGTAAGTACAGTAAAACCATACTAACGGTACTTCCAGGAGTGCAAGCCGATTCAGATTTTCGGCGCGTGGTTAATCTGAGTCAGATATTTTGTTGGTGGCAACAGTGGAAGCAGGAAATACGCCGCCAGTACTGACTCGGTTAGCAAAAAGTCGTTATGGAATTGTTGGATGAGGAATTAACGTGTAAAATTATAGCGTCTGAAACTGTTGTGAAGTTACAGCCAGTTAAAAATTGTGTTCATGATATATCTCTTTTCCCATTGCTAGAATGATGGAGCTTCTTTCTATATTGCATTGAATGGAGCCCGAAACCATTGAAACGGATTATTAAAATTTAACATTGTATTGTAAGAAACTGGTAACATAAATAAACAAAACAATTTTCCTGAAGAGCGTTTAGTGGTAACTCTCAAAGTAAGGATGAAAAAATTAAATATTTTGCTATAAAAATAAAATTTATTTAATTAAATAGTATGCGTAAGAGCAAAATCTGAATTGTACTCTGAAACCAGAATGAAGAATTCATTCCGGTAAGCAGGTGCCTGTGCGCAGACTCGGCAACCGGCAGCCACTACAGCCACTTCCATTTGAATGCATGTGCCATTCCTGTTGCCGAAAATCTGAATCGGCGTGCACTCTGGATGTATCGTAACTCGACAATTTTATGGACCTAGAGGTTATTGACTATTGAGCCTAGGGGTTGTCAAGTTATCCAGAACATTTAAAATGTAATGGGTTTTAATATGAACACATAACAGACTATTTAATTTTTACATTTAAATTTATTCCTTACATGAGTATTTGTACATATTGAGTAAATAATCATCAAAGAAATCTTAAATATTCAACAATTAAAACTAAATGTTCTGAAAAAAATTAAACTAGTAAGACAAAGCGAACTATAGTGTGCCTTGTCAGCTGATAGTGTGGCTGTTACTGTCGAGTTAGTGAGGTTTCACTGTACGAGCAACAATAAAAAATTAGAACACAATTTAGCACGTCTGAAAAAATAGGTTAACTCAAGAGAGACAGTGGCCATCATTGGACTGTTCTTTAAATGGCCAAAATTATGGTGGGATCTGGAGATAATGTCAATCCTAAAAACAACCTGGCGATGAGACGACAACGTCGACAACCACAAAAAATGTAAAAACTGACTTTGGTGAGATGATTAGGTTATATGACCCAAGGTCCACAGGTAAGGTACCTTACTGGGTGCACCACTGTTCAAAGTCAAAGCTTTCTTACTTCATTCACATTCATCTTCAGACCCCCATCTCAAAGATCACCAGAATCATATAACTCAGTAGTCTTTATTCCAGTAGAAAAATAGACAATGACCTTTAACAGGATTAATAATATCAGGAACTTTGCAAAAGTATTGAGCACAGAGTAAAAAGTCGAATAAAATTTATATTTTTATGTGATCATTATTTCACAGGATAAACAAAGGATGATATTCCAATCAATGTACTGTAACTCAAATACTTGTCATATGACTGAAAAGCTTCAAACCATCATATTTAATTTGTAACCTATCAAAATGTTTGTTTACTAATAAAGTAAAGCATGCATAGTTGTATTTTAGGGATTGATCATGGCTAAAGAATATAAGGATAAGAAAAAACCTCATTGGGAGCCATCTCACCAAATTAAACGTCCAGATGGAATAAAATCTTCAGACTACACCAATGCCAAACAGTTCATTCCTTCCTATGAAAAAGTAAGTTTGATTTGAACTAGTGAAAAGTAAGTAAAATTGGAATAGTTAAAAGCACAATCTAATTTTCACAATCGGCTTGCAGTTCCGTTTAATTCCTTCTGCCTTGTTTGGATGAATCATTTCTCACCTTTTAAGCTCAAAATTTTTCATAAATCGGTTAAACTATTTTATACAAACACATTGGATTCTTCTGGAAGCTCTAAGGTCATGATTATACAGCAACTCATTAGGTAGGTACCTATGTCCACACTAGTGAGCTTCTGTGTGCACCAAACGCATGCCTCTTAGCACACGCCTGGACGCAAGTAAAGCATTTGTCAAGAAAAGCCTGAATTGACTTGGCAAGAGCCCAATTCCATAGGGCAAGACGATCCGCCAGCATTGGATTTCTTTGCGTTTCAACATGCATCAACTGCTTTACATTTTTGACAATTTGTCCATGTTGTTGTTTGGAGCAACATGACAATGAAGAAACCTTTCAATTCATAGAATATTATCACTATCATGTGAGTTCGTGGGACATACAGAGTACATTTACACTAACAATACACAGCGGAATGACGCCTGCTCGGATTTAGCCAAAAAATTCAACATGAACATGAAGGGTGTGCGGAATGAAGTTAAAAGCTGTGGTCATATTTTTCAAAAGAGCACCAAAAGTAATACAAAAAAAGTGGTACGGGACCTGATAGCAAGTACGAGACACCTTGGTTTGCATATTCCTCATTAATTTTCATGCGTGTGGACAGTTGAAAGGCATGCTCCAAAAAGCATTCAACAACGCATGTGTTTATGCATGACCAATTGACAGTGCACGAGTGTGGACATAGCTTTTCCCAGTCAGCAAATAAATGCAGCGTTTGGAGATTCCACAATTGTTTGGATTTCTCCTTCGTGGCTTCCACAAAAAAACTCCACAACCCAACTGCTTATCCTAATCTCACTAAAATTACACTTTAAACCCGCCTCCTTCTCGAAGCAGTCTACCTAATACAAATGTCTTATTAATCTTTCAGTGTGTTGTCACCAATAAATATTAAATGAAAAATGCAATTAATAACACTAAATAATTTCCAACAGCTCAGGAATAACTCAATTGAAATTGCAGATGAATCTTTAAAACATGGTACACATCTCAAAGTACATAGATGAAGTGTTAAATCATCCTTAAAATGTCTTAACATACTATCCTGGTGCTACAGCCCTTTGCTTGCTTTTTAGCCTCCATAACAATCTTCCTCAATGCTTTGGAGTGCCATGCTGTCTATCTGTGTCTTTGTTTTACAGTTGTGTATTCTAATATTCTTTTAGTCCTCCACTCCATCTATCCACATCGATCGTGGCCGTCCCATTCGCCCTTCTTCATGAGGTGAATATCCTGCCATTCATGATTTGCTTGCAATTCACTCTTCAGGCATGTCAGCTATGCTTTTGTATGAAGAGAATTTTATTAAAAATATTCCACCACCTTTAAACCTTTTTTTTACCCTCAAGTTTCTGTTTACAAATTGATGAAAGAATAGATATTGATTTTTAAATTTTATTTCAAATTCCTATTCAAACCCCTGGCCAACTATCTAATCGACCAGTGCATCAAATCCATGCAGCATGCTTCAGATTTGTAGACAAGCTCTATAATCACTCAGCAACCAAGATGATTGATTGAATCCCTGAGGGACACCTATTATTACTTTGCATAGATGCTACAATTTTTCTATCATTATAACTTACAGTAGTGTATTCTTTTTGATTCTTTGAAATTTATTTTGAAGTTGTAATTCACAGGGAAGTAGAAACTTAATGGTTCGATTTTGTTTTGGATAAACCTAGTTAATCGATAATACTACAGTTATCCTAGCTCAGTATACTCCCAATTGAGGATTTTTAAATACTATAATGGAATATTTTTATTTTCATATCTATGTATAATTTTGAAGACTTTTGTATATGTTTAAGAGCAATTCAGTTTAAGATAATATCCCATATAGGGAATGATTTTAGCATAGGTCTCATAGTAGGTATGTAGACAAACGAGAAATATTAACCAATTTTAATGAAATTTGGTACTAACGTGAAACCTAGGTTTATTTGAAGGAGTGTGCAAACCAGCTTGATTCGACTAAGGTATTTGGACTTGCGGAAGGGGGGGGGGGGGGGGTTATGGGGTAGAAATAGGTTTTTTTAAATTTTTGCAGTCTAAACCATTTTTAGAGCTTTAAAAAAAAAATAGTTTACGGCAGTGTTGTTAACTGGCTTAATGGTTAAGGGAAAAATTCCTAAAAACTGAAAACTTAAAATTTCTGCGTTATTCTTAAGGAAAATAAATTAACTGTTGAAGTTAATTGTTTATGGACATATTTTGATTAAATTTGGAAAATTTTTTTACTCCATACTAAACTATTTACATTTCACTAAAAAAGTATTTTATTACCTTCCCTGTAGCAGCAAACAATGTTAATCTATTTTTTTTTTTAATAGGGAATAAATCTGACATTTTAAGGAGGTATTTTAGTAAAGATATAATAAGGCAAATGGAACGGGTGGCGTCGTCCTGTAATCCAGCTACTAGGAGGTCACGAATTGTGGATATTTATAGGCATGCACTGTGGATGTGATACTCCCTGGTGTGGATTAACATCCGCACGAGTGAGTACTACGACTATCCGCAGTACTATCCTGATAATTAGACCAATTCGTATATTCCAAGGCAAAAAAATTTGGTTCGGATTCCACTATAAACTGTAGGTCCCTTAGTTGCCATTAGCTGTATGGGCTATTAATTAACAGCTGTGTCTAAGGATTAAGGAATGTCCACCTTAGTCACTAACAAGACTACAAGATCGCGCCACTCATCCTTCACTCATCTCCATTCATACTTGGCTTAAAATACCTACTTTGTATGGTCGCCATTTAATAAGAAAGTATTAAAGAAATTCGCTCAGTCTCCAGGTTTGTTGCTGCGGCGGGGATATTTGTAATGTCATTGGCTACACTATCTGAAGCACAGACCTAAACCAACAGTTGAAACACTCTATTTCTTTTCTAACTGATAACTATTAGAATTAGTTGAAAGTAAAAATAGTAAAAAGTTTAAAAAAATGTAATAAAAAAATAATAAAGTAGTAAAAAAAAAGTAGTAAAAATAATAAATAATAAAGTCATAAAAAAAGTAAAACATTCCTCTTTTTTTTGTATTGTTTGGTTTAGGAACCTACTAAAATGGCCTACATAATGAGCAATGAATATGCAAGAATTTGGCAAAAAGAACGAGAAGAATTCGACAAGTCTGTTGTTCAAGAAACTAAGCCCCCTGCCAAGAAGATCATTGTTAGAGGGGTAAAGAAAAAGCCGAATCTCAAGAAAGATAGTGAAATAAACGTCAATTTGAAAAAGGGAAAATCTAAAATTCTGAAACCTTAGTTAAAAATTAAATGTGCAAAGCAATTTATAACTCTTGTTGATGTTCATAAAATTGTGTACATTAAACTGACAAATTTCAGCATATACTGTAAATGTTTTTTATTAGAACCTTAAACAAATTATGGGTTTTCAGTTTCACATTTTTGAGTTGTTTATAACTAAGGTAAATGAGCATGGAATTCAGAGACATGTTCTGGGCCACCCTATTAAATGTAGTTATAAAGAGGTCTTAGGCTTTTTGGGGGGCGAAGGAAGAGAATAATTCCCTTTGGTATGGGGGGGGGGGGGGTGTGCAATAATCTCTTGGGGTCCATAGCACTGCTCATATGCAAACCAAACCGCAGATATATCTCCTTATTTTAGGACTTTCTGAATGTTGTGAGTTTTACCGTTTTACTGTTGTAAGAAATATTTTAATTTTAAATTATTAAATTAATTGTTTTATAATTTGTGTAAAACGTTTCTTTTGAAATTATAAGATCTTCTATTACTAGGTCCTATGAAATTTACTAACTTAGTGAAAATTGTTTGCAGGGCCACAAATATAGTAATAGGATGTCGCTTTACTGTTTTTTATGAAGAGGTATTGTGTGAACAACCAGTTTGATTTTCAACCAGATTCTGTGACTTGACTATTTCTGGAACATAGCCTACAAATTTTACTTATACACAATAACAATCAATTAATTTTTGGCTTAGACTACACAAAAAATACCAACTAGTCGTAAAAATAATACATACACCACATTTACTCTAACATTTTAGATAAAAATTTAGATTCATACATTTGATAGTTTTTTAAAAGAGTAGTGTACTATGTGTTTGTGTGATTTCTTTTTAAATTGTTCTTGATGGTATTTACAATCATAACCTAACCACTTAATGCAATACAAAAATGTGTGCTCATTATGGACGTAGTTTACCCACAACACAAGACAATTGAAATCCAGACGAGATGACACAGTTTGTATTTAGCGGCTGTGCTGCGGAGGATATGCCATAATGAATGCAGGCGCGCTTTTTTGCCCTGCTCAGTTCAACAGCCTGCGTCTGCGTTCTGCTAGTGAGCGCCTGACGCCTGCGCAGAACGGTCCTCTCTCTTCTGTCTGTTAGTGTTAGTTTTGCCGGTCCGTCCGTCACCGACAGATCTCCGGTGTCAGGTTTCAGGAATAACTTTACCATGGTAAGTGTATCATTTGTAGAAGCAGTAATTTTTGGGCTTTTTGATTTTGTAAATAAAGTTAGGCCTACAAGTAGAAAAAGTTGTTCTATTTTGGAGATTTAGATTTAGGCCCTATTACCTAAAGCAGGTTGAAGAATCATTATTGATTGTTGAGTATTTTGTATTTAAGTTTAGTTTGTTAGAAAAATTTAGACTGACACAATGCGTACTTATCGAGTTTTGTTTTATGTTGTTGTTATTATTATTGTTATTGTTTTTTATACCCTACCATTCAAAATCCGTTAGTTAGCGACTTTCTTATGGCGTTTACATTTGATAGCTTTGCATTCGTTTTTAATGTCCCATTCAGATGCTAAAATTCTTGCAAAACAGTAATGGTACTGTAATAATTTTAATACGTTTTAGCACACTTTCTTAAATATTTTCTACCATTTTCATCTAAACCAAACACGACGATTTCTGGTTTAATTTTGAATCATAAAACATCCCCGAAAACATTTTAGGTACAGTAGTTTTTTTTTTAGAATCTCGAAATTTTTAGAAAAACGTGTAATCTATGTTTATCGAGCCCATGACTAATTCTGTACGGAGTTAAGAAATGTTTAAAAAATAAAACCAATGCAAAATATCGTTTGCATTAAATGTAGTAATTTTAATGTTTAAAAGACTATGTTTAGTTCAGTTGTTCAGTTCAACATTAAATAAGTTACACTGTAAATAATTAATAGCTTTGAAAGAAGTATATTTAATTTATTGAAGATACACGCTTTAATTCCTATCAAAATTATTTAAATCGTATATTTTAAAATATGCAACTACTAATTAAAATATTAGCCAAGTAGTTAAATACTTTTATACGTTGACTAGCTGTAACCCGCGGGCTTTGCCCCGTTTAACTTCTTAATTTTCAAGATTATCTCGTTCGCATGGCTCAATCACGTCCTGGTTGAAGTTTGTTCGCTACGCTCACTCACCTTTAGGTTGGAGCTCGTTCGCTGCGCTCGCTTGCCTTCAGGTTAGCTAGTTCGCTACGCTAACTCGCCTCCAGGTTGAAGTTCGTTCGCTACGCTCACTCACCTTTTGGTTGCAAATTAGCTGTTGTCATAAATGTAAAAGAAATAATAGTGCTGCACCCTGTTGGTAATCCTTGTATCTTTAATGCTATTGAACATCATAGAACAGAACCAACTTGTTTAATTGAAACAGCTGTTAAGATTCAATAATTCCATTTCTCATAAGGTTAACATGGGAAACTCCAGAGCCACTGGGGCGGAGCCCGAACGGATTTTTGAAATAAGAATATGCCTAGGGCCTATATGTTAATCGGGAATGTGAGCTATCATCATGCCAAATTTCAGCCCAATCCGACCAGTATTTTTCGCGTTCACTTGTCACAAACATACATCCATCCATACATCCAAACTTTCTCATTTATAATATTAGTAGGATATTTGACGTTTTAAATTAGTAAAAATAAAACTTGTGGTAATATTTGGTAACATGGTATTAATTGAATAATAAAATATCAAAGACGTTATGCACATGCATTGGCTCAAATGTATATAAAGGAGTTTAGATGCAATATTGACTGTGACGTATTTCACTTGAATATTTAGTTAAACAAGTCTAAGTTAAAATTAATATAAGCATCCTTGACCATGGCTTTAAAACTAAAAAATTGATAAGAATAACCCATTGACAATTAGGCACGCAATAATGGAGCTGAAATTAAATTATATGCATCAAAGGGACATTACATTTCCACGTCAGGATTTCTATTGTAGATTGAAATTGGAATGTCTTCCATACGAATGTGAATTGAAATACTAATTGAAAGCCCGCGAGGAGGATGTTGAGTGGAACTGTGGTAGAACGGTAGAATGGCAGACGGTTTCTGTGTCATCGTCGATTATCTACTGTCGCGCTCTATTTGGAGGCCTACACTCGAAACTTGATCCGGGGAAACTCTTTCCCAGACCACAAGACACGTAAAGCCTAAGAGATCTGCCAAAAAGTATTTAATATTGTTAGAGTATTTGTCGCTTAAAAGCTCATCTATCTGATTTTGTATCAAATGTTCTCTGTCGATCCGTTGCTGTTGCGGCTTGCCCGGACGAGAGCAGTGGGATTCGATCAAACGGTTCAGGAGGTTTGGCAATTATTACCCATGAAAAAATGTATGACTTCTCTATTGGAAATTCAACAAAGAAAACTTCTTGGTGAATAATCAAGACTGTATAAAACTAACACCAGTTGGTAGACGGTTGTAAACTGAATTACGTCGTTAAGATGTTATTCGAAAACTTAAGTTCTCAAATCAGATTTTTGGTTTATATTTTTTGTATATTTTGCTTCATTTTATTTTAAACTAGGTGTCATTTTCCCGGAGAAGAGAGCGTAAAATGCCATATTGAGTGTTACAGAAAGACAGACAGACAGAAAGAAATTAAGATAACACGCGTTTCGGTTTTCCTATAGTATAAAATGAAAAATAACCGAAAAATTTATGATTATACGCAATGTACAGACAAAACTCTAATTGTATTTATGTAGATAGTAATAAATACTTAACCACTATTTTTTCAGTAGACATTCTTCATTTCTACCATAGCGTGCTTTAAACACGTTATTTTCTACTATCACAGACAAACGGTTCTTCGGCGCCGCTGTTTGCGATCCTTACTAGGTAAGACGACGCTGGTTTTTAGCTCATAAACCGCGGTTATGCATAACTCTTCCTTATTGCTTTCAACTGCCTTCGCGTCTCATTGCCTTCGTAAACTCAGACGTTCCAGACTCCGAAGAATTCCTAATGAGAAACTGAGTGAGAAATGCTTAGTTTGAAAACAGTTAAACAAGTAACTGTAATTCTAAAGTAGGCTAAATTAGGCGAGACCTGACATATTGATGGAATGTGTGGCTAATTCGTATTTCCACACGCATCTCAAATTTTATTTACCAACTAATATATCTGATTGTGCTTTTTGGAAGCATCTCCCATTAATTTACACCTTTAAATCCAAAGTTCGAAGCCACTGAAGTTCAACTTCGCTATTACAACATAATAATCTAAGGAAATCCACTAAGAAGAAATCCACAGACAGTCAGTAAACAATTACTCTAGAGATATGCCAAATCACCTGTTATTCTTCAATGTAAACTCAGTGTGAAAGAGATCAAGCGGTTTCCATTGAACTTGTAGAAAGTTTATTTCGCCAAACCAAGGGGGTCGTGTACCAGGAAGCCAGCTGTCTCGACCCTGAAAATATTCCTAGGATGATGCCGTTGCCGATGCCTATCAGGATTTTGAAAACACTTTCCACTTTAGTCGATCATTTACTGACAATTTGTACGAAACAAATGTATTGTATAATGGGGCTGCAGTACATAATATTTCAGTGCTATACCGGTAAGTCAATTATTGTTGTGTTCAAAAGAGACCTTCAAATCCGTGACGGCTGAAAAGAACCGGATACATTTAATTGAAAGAATGATACAAACGGTCCTTGGGCCTCGGATGATGACACGGACCTTGAACTTCATCAAGCATTCGCAAAGTAAATACGTACCTAGGTTCATCATTTACTTGTGACATCATCATGGTATTTGTATACAACTGAGAGTGTTAAGGCACATGAATAAATAATGAGCTTACCTCTTACAAGGATGACAGTCCTCAGAATCCATACCACGAAACTATAACGGTAAATAAAAGTGCTTCATACGCATTTCTATAGGTAATTAACTACATTATAACCCTTGCCATCTTGTCAAAAATATATATATATTTAAATCAAAAGTATTTTAAATTCAAACGTAAAGTGTTCGTTTTTCTGTGAAACAAAACTCGCTTGTTGAAAAAAAACAACAATTCGTTGTAAAAAATTGGTGTAGACGAATTGGCTTATTTTGAGAAAGTCTGTTCGTCGCTGAATACAATTAATTTATTTCCAGACAAAGACGGTTAGTTGAAACTAGTATGAAAAGGAAACTTTGTCTATTCAAAACATGTTAAATAAAATCGGTTTATGTCCGAAACCAGTTAGTTATATGGACCTTAAGGTTGTACGTGCTGCAGTTAACGCTTCTACAACACTTGTACAGCTAAAACTCCCCAAAAATAACAACAAACTACAGTTTTGAAAGATTTTCGAAGTGCGAGCATGAACGAGATGGGTCTGTAGTTAGTCAGCTCTGCTAGTGGGCAACTGTGTCAGCGCTCAGCGTAACTAGGTGAGCGCATTGTGATGTTAGCTGCTCGTGATCCTCATGGCACGATGGTCTGACCGTTTCAATTACTTCACCTCGGTCTGCTCTCAACACTCGACACACAATCGATTGTCACACTCCTTCACGCTAAACAGATGTTTCTTGCTTCCTGTTCCCAATATCCGGTAAATCAGATGATCCGGATGTAAGTGATCTAGGCTGATCTTGAAACTGGTGATCTGTTGGTGTAAAACCTGAACCAAATTGTCGATTGACTAGGGAAGTAGGCCCATTGACTATACACACATAACCATTCACCATATCACCAGAGGGTACTAGTGTATGGATGAATTAAAATCAATGCAGTTATCATAGCAAACAGTTGATTGATTTATAACTTGACACAGAATATTGTCATTAGTTGGTAGACCATCTGAAAAGATTACATCAGGGTTTTTGTATTCAAATGTTTAAATTACATGGGAAAAAGTATAGTATAAGGTCTATCCATCTGAATATTTGTACACTAACTATAAAGATCATTAACAATAAACAAATGACGTAACTAGCTCGAATCCTATAATAATAACGTTGGCATGGTTTAGTAGACAGTTCCATTTTAGTAATGTTAAAAAATGTTTACCTTCGGGGGCAGTGACATAATTTGTCTATGTTTCTGATCCATGTTTCTGTTATAATATTTTTGGCTCTAACTCGCCGATGTGGCAGAGAAGATTGACACTAACCGTTGTGTTATAATCATTATCATGGGTTTCAGGAGGTGTCTAATGCTTAATTGGGGGAAGTGACGTTCCCAAAAAAATAGCTATGCGGGTAGTTAATTAGGACAAACCGCGTAAACACAGGCCAACGACCTAAATCTACAGGGTGTCCTCGAACTCTGCCAAATGTTTGAGGTATCATTCCAAATACAAATTAAAATACATCGTAAAAATAACAAAACTCAAGCAACCCGAACCACCACAATTTTTTGATTGTTAACGACTTTCTGTTGTGAATTTAAATTTGTTACCGTACTGTATTGAATCAATAAAGTAATAAATAGATATATATTCATGAAAATAACTTTTTTAATGTTTAGTTTCAAAATTGTTGTGGTTCTTTGATTAAGTAAATTCTGTATATTTCTTTACTCCTACAAACAACGAGCTGATGAAGATTAATCATTGTTACCATCATTGTTATTAATCATTGAAATTAGTGTAATAATCATTTACAATAAACATATTTGTACAATAAAATTATCCAACCCCAACAAATGGGGTTACGGAACTAATTACAAACCCTTTTGTATATGTAAACAAATCTGTAATTCTTCAATTATTTGTGAAATAAAAGTTACACCAATTGGTAGAGTCAATAATAATGTCACAAAACCTGTTGTCAATTAATACATAGCAAAATCGTATTCGATTGTACTAATTGAAGTTGATAGTCAACATTCTGGTACTAGTCACTATTTAATATACACATTGGGTTACAAATATTTACTAGAGTAAAAAACAGCAAATCAAACCTAACAATGCCAAACTCTTATCACAAGCCAGAGGGGCAAATCTCAAATTGCTGCTTCAAAACAGCAATCTTTCTGTCCATGTTTATTTGTTGACGAAGCACGTTATCGGAGCCCCGTCACTCGATCTCACAGTCGAAGAGAGCATTTTGCAGATCTCTGCCGCAATATAGCAAACATTAATGAATAATTACTTAGTTTTGTTAATCCGCCTGTTTAGAGTAATTTGAAAGCTGTTGATTCATAACTGTAAACTAAATCTGTGACTATGAATAAAAGTTGAAATCCAATCATCGTGTAAAGTCGTGACCAGTTTAGAAAAAATATACGTAGATGAATAGTTGAGCCTCTGACTTAGAACACTGATTAAAATTTAAAAGACCACTTATTGTCAACCATAGCATCTTTTATATAAAACTAGCTGTAACCCGCGGGCTTTGCCCCGTTTAACTTCTTAATTTTCAAGATTATCTCGTTCGCATGGCTCAATTACGTCCTTAGGTTGGAGCTCGTTCGCTACGCTCACTCACCTTTAGGTTGGAGCTCGTTCGCTGCGCTCACTTGCCTTCAGGTTAGCTCGTTCGCTACGCTAACTCGCCTCCAGGTTGAAGTTCGTTCGCTACGCTCACTCACCTTTTGGTTGCAAATTAGCTGTTGTCATAAATTTAAAAGAAATAATAGTGCTGCACCCTGTTGGTAATCCTTGTAACTTTAATGCTATTGAACATCATAGAACAGAACCAACTTGTTTAATTGAAACAGCTGTTAAGATTCAATAATTCCATTTCTCATAAGGTTAACATGGGAAACTCCAGAGCCACTGGGGCGGAGCCCGAAAGGATTTTTGAAATAAGAATATGCCTATATGTTAATCGGGAATGTGAGCTATCATCATGCCAAATTTCAGCCCAATCCGACCAGTATTTTTCGAGTTTACTTTTCCCATACACACATACACACATACAGCAACCACCTCTTTTTTATAATAGTATAGATAGATGAAAAATATCATAGTTTGTTTGTCCTAAGACGAGCCCGGAAATGTTTTTTCATATTACTTCAGGCTAGACCTAGGGGTTGCGGTGTTATCACTTAGATAAAACCCATTGGTGACTTGGCGGGATTTGAACCCGGGACCTCAGGGACTGAAATCCCGAGCTGTAACCACTAGACCACATAGTACCAATGACTAAAATGAGAAAATCGAATTTGACACAAGCATACTGTGATAAACTGTTATCATTTTTAATGAACATTTGGCTATTCTGGTCCACACAGGTTGGATGTCTTCGTCAGTGTCCAAAAGTCATAACCGGGTTTCACGAGTAAACTATAGTGACTTAAACCTTTAACATAGCTGTAAACTTGTTGTCATTGCATTTTCGAGAAACTAGAACGAACTGATGCAGGTTGGCCGTATCTCTTCCAGCTGAATCTTATATTCTCAGACAATGTAATTATTCGCCTGCCACCTGAGTCCGAGTCAGTGCACTCGCCACAATCACACAAACCGGTCCCACTTGGCGACTTAAACACCAACCGGTCTAAAACAAGTTCCATATCAGCTGATTATCAGCCATTATCTTCTAATCGATCTTTGTTCTAAAGTATCAATCATTAGACAATCGGTTCTTCAGATCGCCGTGCCCCTGTATCGCTATTTTGTTCGCAATAACTTGAAAGACTCATGATTACTATTGCTTAGTTGGAGGAAGTACCCAAGTACCCAGGTAGATTCTATGTCTGTATAAAACAGTGTATTTTTTGAAGGTACGTGAAAAAAATGCCTTTAATTTTTGTGTGCAATTTTATAATGGAGACAGGATCGTTAGAATTAACAATAAAGTGTCAAAACGACCCGTTGTTGGTCAATCAACCAAACAGCTGTTCCATGCTGCATATTTGAACACGACTTGATTTCATAATTATTTATTGCAATTTTTAAGTCCCTCGTGATCAATTTCGTATGGCAAGTTTACACGGGCATAAGAACAGAAACGGTATATGGATCATAAACATAAACAAATGATGTCACTGGACCGAAAAAAACTTATTTGTATTATTTATTTATATTGCACTGTGAAAAAACGTCCAAACTGTATGTTTATGTTATTAGTATAAGATTCGGGCCAGTGACGTAATCTATGTTTATGATCCATACCGTTTCTGTTCTAATATTCGTGGTAAACCAGTATCAAGCATTACGTTACGTGTGTTTTGCTGTCTTGTGTTAATTGTATAATTTAAAACTTCTACGAACTCCACCATGAGAAATTAGCAAGACTTTTGATTTTGATACGAAGATGTGCTCAATCTTCCGCAGCGCGAAACAGCTTTTGTTGATTTACACTACAAAGAATCGTTTTGACAATAACACAGATGACATAAGCTTTCATTTACATTTCTTTTTCCTCAATCCGGATTGATCCTCTACGAAAATTTACCTCTTGTCCCGGACGATTTATCTGTTGGTGGTACAGCTATCGGCACTACGCAGGATTTCCAGATCAGGAAACTGAATAAAAGGCGTAGTCCTGGCATCCGCCCTGTGTCATCCCGACGCGTTGTTGATGTCCGTAGTTTGCAATCTAGATCTGCTTTATAGAACTATCACCGTTATCACAAGAATTTTTAAAAACTTGACTACAGATTATGTGAATTTAAACTCCACATATACCAACATGAATGTTTATGTCTATAGATTTTCTAATCAATGTAAACATTGCAGCGTACATAACGTGATATTAAGGTTTAGTAACGTGAAATTAATTGGTAAAAGTCTATAGGAAACCCTTTGGCTTTATGTTTTGCCACAGAAAAAATGCAAAGATCTATTTCCTTATTGAGTTGTAAGGGGTATTAGTTGAGCGAAAGAGTTTGTCGGTAAACTGGGATGTCAAATGAACAAGGTTATTACAGTAATTAGTTGGATATATGCATGTATAATATATGTTGCAGGAACAGTGAATTTCAGAAGAGTTTGAGTTGAATTCCAGGTCAAGATCACGAAGTTCCAAGAAACACTTCCCCTAAATTTATACTTCAGTAGAAATTATGGGTGGGCATTAATTGCGCCAACTCAGTGAGTCAGGTAGTCGGGTATTCCTGAATTGCGCCAACTACTCCAGGGAGACGCCTGATACTTTCCTTAACTAAAGCCAAGTGGCGGTCGTCTTTGACTGTATAATTGAGTAGTTTAGGTTATGTTATGTTAGGTTAGGTTAGGTTAGGTTAGGATAGGTTAGGTTAGCTTAGGTTAGGATAGGTTAGGTTAGGTTACGTGACACGTAAACAAGGACATTTCCTCTGCCGGCAACTCAACCCTACCTGGCTTGGGTTTGGAGCAACCAAGGAAGATTTTTTGGGACCCTTTGAGGGCTTGGCACAATTAAGGAACTCTGGCGCAATTAATTCACGACCAAACTTTTTGTCTGGTTGAAAGAAGACCCCCAACCTGCGTTGACAGTCACCTTCATTGATTTATATGCAGAGTAATCGATGGTCTAAGGAAGGAACCACCAGTCTAGAAAGTCACTTAGTCGCAACGGTGCTTGATTCCACATCGTTTACCAGTGACAGACGTCAGACGTAAAGTGTGTAGTCATCCACAGTGTTGTGTTGGTAGACTGTAGAGAGTACAGTAGCCCATCAGCCCATCACAGCTGTTGAGGAACGCTATTGTTTACCGCAGTTGCATGTCGCCGCGTTATTTGACTGTCATCCGAGTCCTGTTAGAGACCGCTACCTAGCCAGAGCCAAGACAGCCAAGGCAGCCAAGTAGCCAGTCACTTAGTTCCCACCGCATTTGCCGCTAACTTACTCCACTGATGCAGAACTGGGAATAATGCACGATCTGACACAGCTCAACACTTCGGACATCTCTCTTTGTGGAACGGAAACTGTCGAATTCGAGATTGGATCCTGACTCTTGAATAGTGTCTATTCGTTATGTTACTGTGAAATGAAATAACTGTTAAGCTACATATGGAGGATTTGTGAACTAAAATATCTCTTCGGTTGAGGTCATTAAGATGTTGATGATCAGTGATATTTTATACGTACAAAAAAATACATGTGAATAATATTACTGTTGTTATTTAAAACTCCAAATCTGATTTAACCGATTTGTTTCCAGATGTGGTGGACTCTTTTGATGCTAGACGGATTTTTGTTGCCGATTCTCGCTCGTTCCAACGGTAAGTATTTACGTTGATTGAATAGTTAGTTTTTAACCATGAACATCTTTATATTTCTAGAACAGCAACGGTAGGGATCGTAAACATAAATAAATGACGTCACTGGCCAGAAAGTAAACATTAAGGAACTGTCGAAAAAACGTCCAAACCATATTTGGGCCAGTAATGCCACTTGTTTATGTTTACGATCCATAACGTTTCTGTTCTAATATCCGTGGTATAAGCTATATAGTATATTTTTCAAATAAGTGACTGTGGATTTTCAGCAAAATTTATTTTTACGTAGGGTTAATCCCTTATTTGATCCTTTGTAGATATCTAACGGATTGAGGTTTCCATAATTAATTATAATGTATTAGGTATCAATGATTCCGTGTTAATCTTTCAGAAATAGACCACTCCTTAAGTAACGTCTTTCAAAGTGAGTTTTACTGACGTTGGTATTGGTAGCACATTGGTGTTAAATTCTGGATCAGAAAAGTTAATTGTTGTCACTTAGCAAGGCTGTGACTCTTTTCTTATTGTACATAAGTCTCCGGATTGCCAAATAATATTTTAAAACTGTTTAAATACATGCTATTAGGCAATCCAATCTTGTTTGCAAACGTAACTAGTTTCGGCTCCTATGTGGCTGTATAAGGACGTTTTTTTTCTTCATATGAAGAGCGTCATATTTAACACGAAAATTAGTGATAGACAAAATGCAACCTGAGGTGATTGTGATAAGATAACGGACGTGCACCTACTGCACTGACCAGCCGTCTATCACTAAACTCCACCGGGTTAATAGTCCAGGACCTGACTAGGGTTCTGTGTGCATGTCGTGTATAGAGAATTTTGCTTTTGCATTTCAATATAGGTGTCTTAGGAAGTGTTTTCCACTCGGGTGTCAAGTTCGCACCTGGTACGTTTTCGAGCTATGACGTCATCAAAATGGCGGCCATTGATTTTTTTAAATCGTATATTTCGCAAACTATTTGTCGGATCGGAATGAACTTTTTTTTGTTTGAAAGATAATTTTAAATGCTACCTGTTTTAAATTTACACATTTGTTGTATGTTTAGTACATTCTTCGTAATTTTGCAAAAACCTGTATTTTTAAATATTTTTGTGTTATTTTTGTTTGTAACGTTTTATTGATACAATTTATCAAAAACCACAAATGAAAAAAGTTGTAGAACGCTTAAAAATCTTTACAAAAATACCAAATACGATATGTTTTCCTAAAAAGATTACGTCAAGAAACTAGATAAATCTCATAAAAACACCAATTTTGGCGCAAAAACGCCTATTAGTCCGGCATCTAGGGCAGTTCGCAAGTCTTATAAAGACAGTTTTACCATTCAATGTTGATGTATGTGTCTAAATAAGCGTTTTCAACTCGGGTGTCACGTCTGCACCCACTGCAGTTTCCGGTTATGACGTCATTAAAATGGCGGAAAGGGCTATATTAAAAATAACTATATTTTACATACCATGTATCGGATCGGAATGAACATTTTTTTTATTGAGAGATAAGTTTACATGCTATCTTTCTTACGTTTACACTTTTGTTGTATGTTTAGTACATTTTTCGTAATTTTGCAAAAACATATATTTTTAAACATTTTTGTGTTATTTTTGTCGATAACGTTTTATTGATACAATATATCAGAAATAACTTAAAGACAAAGTTGTAGCACGTTAAACGAGCTTTACAAAAATACCAAATTCGATATGCTTTACTCAAAGGATCACGTCAAGAAACTAGAAAAATCGTACAAAACAACCTAATTCGGCGCAAAAACGCATATAAATCCGACATCGATGGCTGTGTTCGAGTCATATATAGACAGTTTTACCATTCAATGTTGATTTATGTGTCTAAAGAAGTGTTTTTAACTCGGGTGTCACGTCTGGACCCACTGCAGTTTCCGGTTATGATGTCCTTAAAATTGCTACATGTTACGATTTCACTAACTATTTTACTTAAAATAAGACCATTACCTTCTTTTATGCAAATAAAAGCACAACAAATCAATGTAATTAGTCCATAAGAATGTTTCCACTATATAAATACCCCCGGTGCAGCAATCCTGTCGACTAAGCGAATTTCCATTTGCCTGCTATTAAATTAAATTGCTATTAATCTATTAAATTAACATTGTTTAAGAATACCTAGGTTTGCTGCTTAAGGGAAACTAATAAAGTGGATTTTTTATTAAAATATTAATAGCTTAGTACTGGATAAATAAATCTGCAAAGTTTGATCAAAATATATCCATAAACAAGCCGACTACTACAGTTACAATATTGTCCATAAGAATAACATTGGAGTTTAAAATGAAAAATGTTTTTATTTTCTCAGTAACCAATAACTGTTCAAAAACACTTTTACCGTTCAAAAAACATAGGTACTCTTAAACAATGTTAATTTAATAGATTAATTTAAAATCAATCCAGGCACTTAAAAACACTTCTTTAGACACATACATCAACATTGAATGGTAAAACTGTCTATATATGACTCGAACACAGCCATCGATGTCGGATTTGGGTCATTCTCCATGAAAGGAGCATTTTCAACTGTTAATTTTCTGAAAGTTATATCTTTAATTTTCTATGGCAAAATTTGTGTAGTTGTTGCTTTAAGTATATTTAATAAGTTGCAGGTGTCTACACAACTCATTAAATGTCCGTTAACAAAAAAAAAAAAAATTCTTTTCGCGCTATCCACGGACGTGACAAATCTGCCACAGACGTGACAATACTTGGTGTTATACAATTTCTTGCTGTAACAGCTGTTAGTGTTTGAAAGGTAATTTACATAAAAAAAATATCTGTAGGCTAATGAATAGTTTTTAATAAGTGTCATAAAATATTACCTGGTATAGATTAACAAAGTTATAAGTATTAATAATGGTATAAGGTTACATACAGAGAACATAAAATAAAAAATGTAAAGAAAACACAGTAGTTAACATAAAATGGACACTAGCAAATGTTTTTAAATGGCAAGTCTTGTGGAAAATGGTATTGCCCCCTGTTGTTGAGATTGGGCTGGCACAATCTAGACAATCTTCATGGTCAATGCAAAGGCATGTGTCCCGTTTTAAATAATCAGGTTGAACAACCCAGAATGGTCTTAGTTTACAGAATGTGCTGTAGGATATTTTTTGGTTCATTGATGATTCATTCAATTCATTGTACAAGTTTTTCATTGTATCATTAAGCAGCCTTTTCTGTTTTTTTTTTGCTTATTTTTTGTTTTTGTTTCCTTTTTGCCAGCAGTCAATCTGCTAACACTATCTTTTTCAAAAAAACTTTCAACTTCATTTTTTATTTTACAATTTTGTTTCAAGAGTTCTATGGTAACCTTGTTTCGGTTGGAACATATTTTTCTTGAAGTAATGGTACATATTCTTTGTTGTACTCTGTATTTTTGAACTATTTTCCCTGTTAAAACTCTTTCAAAAGCTCTTTTTTTGTTAGTACTTCTTTCAGAGACAAAATTCAGATTTATCTGTTTCTTTAGAACCTCTCCAAAAAGTAAGTTTCTTCTGACTTCTTCAGAACACTTTCTGCTGCCTTTGAGCATTTTGTTGACCAACTTCCGAGGGAGTCTCATCTTTGGTAGAATTTAATCTGTAGTACCTTTGTTTATAACGGTCTCCTTTTTTTTAACTTTTTATTTTCTTCTTCCAACTTTTTTATTTTAGAGTTCAATTCATCTCTGTTCTTTCTTCGTCTTTTTCTACCGCTGTCTTTCCTTGAACTTGATCCAGCGACAGGTAGGCCTACAGGATCTGCCAAAATATTTTCTTCATTAGGCCTATTATCGAGATGCATGATAGGACTTTCAGGAGGAGTGGCTATGTTTTCAATAAGCTCTGCCATTTTCTTTTTATTTTCTCGACTCTCTCTAGTTCTTTCCTTCCAACCCTTTCTGATCTTTCTTTTTTCTCTTTCAGATAGTTCGGATATTTTTTTTCTCGATGCTCGTTTCCTTTCCCTATCTTTGCGTTTTTGTTCCTCATATTTTTCAGGATTTTCTTCTTTCATTTTAGTTCTCGCCCTTCTCATACTCAACTTTTTGGACTCCCGTGTCTTATCGACCTTCCCCATAATTGTTTTAATCTGGAAAAAATATCTGGCTATAGGTCACTAGTTTTAATTTTAAAAACTAACCAGCAGTATTGAAAACAAAATAAAAGATCTTTCATAAATAATAAAGTAATAATAAATAGAATAAGTATTAGGTATAAGTTATTCAAAATAATAAGTAGAATATAAAAAAGAAACTTAATTCTCTGAATAACTTAATATGCTGTCACGTCTGTGGTATATTCGTCACATCCGTGGAATACTTAAAGTAACAGACGTGACACCCACAGACGTGACAGATTAAAGGTTAATAGACCAATACTTGGTTGTATTTGAGGTTAGGATTCCAATAACTTAAAACTAAGGATTACTAATATAGCCACTAAACATTAATTAATGATAGTTTAGTAAAAATTGTATTACTTACCTCTTAATCTTAGCTACAGACGTGACACACAGTCATGAACAAGATCAACTTTTCTTACTGGACCACTCAAAAAACACATTTAATCATCACTTAACTAAGTCCAAACCATGCTGTCAATTCAAAATGGCTGCTGAAGGAGTAGAACCACCACTAGTATGTGCCACAGCTGCCATCTGCTGAATTATATTTGAACTACAAACTTCTTCCACAGACGTGACAATTTTGTTAGTGACACGACTTATGTGCTTAATAATTACATTAAAAATAGTTAATTTTGCTAATTGTATTGGCTTACTTCTTAATCAGGGTTGATACTTCCATATAATACACTTTTAACCCATATTAAATGTTATTATGTGGGGGAAAATAGCTTTTGAAGTACCTGAAAAACAGGTAGTGACATTCCACGGACGTGACTTGTCACAGTCTGTGGCTAATATATTTTTTTAAATAAGTTGAAATTGCAATTTGTTATTATTATTTAAGTTAG